TCATTATTAACCTTTGCAATTATAGTATTATCTGCTAGACCTTGACTAATATTCTTAGCAATTTCATATGGTGTTGTATGCCAAGATTGAGCAATAATTCCTTTCCATCAGGAAGAATTACTTTTATATCAGTCATTGATTTTGAAGCTAATGATGCTTCATATTCTGCTTTAAGCTTATCCCACAATACAATACGATCCTAAAAAGATAATTATTCAATAATTAAATAATAATATATAATATATATATATTTATAAAAATTAATTTAAATTAATTTATTTTTTATAAACTATTTAAATTTCTAAATAAACATTTTAAAATATAAATAAAGTATATAGATACCTGAATATAATTTGGCCAAGGATTTAGTTCAGAAATAGATTTCTCATCTGTAATCTTTTTTTTTGATTTCATTTTCGTCTAATGTTGAAGAAAAAAAATATTAAATTTCATCAAAAAAGCTTATTATTATTTTTTAAATTCAGAAAACACAAGAAATTTTATAGAAAAGCTTGTTATTATTTTTTAAATTAAAAAATACAAGAGATTAATATTAAAATAGAATTATTATAATTTAAAATAGAAGTAATACAACAGCAATCAATGGTATAAAATCAGATTGCATCAGAATATTGATTTTAAAGATATGGGTGGTCATTCTTAATACGGCACGCCTTTTAAGATAACAAATACTTTGAAAAATAAATAAAAATAAAAAATTCATGATGTTAGCGATATTAAAATCATAATGATGATATACTTTATAACCAACCCAAGCATGTGTCCTTTTAGAAACATTGTAAAGGTTTCTATTATTGCGAATAAACAAAGTCGTCAACATATTTTATAGCTAAAAATAAAAATTAAAAAAATTTTATCAAATGTAAACTATATTCATGCCTTTTCTTCCTTTATATTCAGGTTTTCCACGTTATTCACCACGTCGTCACACATGTTGTCGACCATATTGAAACTTACTGATGCTTTTGGTTGAGTATACCAACGTGTTTTCTCTATATACCTATATATAAAATAATGATTATGTTTATAATGATTATATATTTTGTTATGAAATAACAAAAATTGAGTTTGTTCAATATATATCTTTTCATTTCGGGATAGAAAAAAGAAATAGAAATAAAGAATTAATATTTTCTTTTTTATTAAAAAATAATCATTTATAAAACATATTTTAAATGCTTTACAATATGTATTAACTGTTTACAATAATTCATATATATAACATTGTAAAGAATATAACAGAACAACATGTATATATATGTACATATGTATATTATTATTATTTCTTATTTAAGAAAATTATAATTATTTTAATTTTATTATATTTTGTTTCTTATGTTTTTAAATAAATAAAAACAAGCTTATATTTTCCTAAAAATGTATCCGTTCATGTCGAATAATATGACTTCGATGATGAAATCTTTTTCCACAAGTGCGACAGACGTAAGGCCGTTCATCAGTATGAATTCTATTGTGTATTTTTAAATCGTATTTTTTAAAAAATGATTTACCGCATTGAGAACAAACATGATTTCGTTGTTTTAAATGATCACGTTTTACATGTTCCTATACCAAAAAAAATTTATTGTAATATCATTGTAATATATAATTATATTAAGAAAATATATTATTATATTAAGAAAAAATTTTCAAATATACTCACATTTACTTGCGAAGAAGTGTTATAAATTTTATTACATATATCACATGCAAATTTCTGTGGACCATCTGGTCTATGATTACTTGCGATATGTTTATTTAATGTTGATTTCCAAGCAAAAGATATTTTACAATCTTTACAATGAAATTTTTGTTGATCTGCAAAATGAGTACCTATATGTTGCTTATAATTATAACTAGTTGAAAAAGATTTTTCACATACTGTACATTGAAATTTTATTAAAAAAGTTTTTGTTTTTTTTGAGTCTTGTTCGTTTTTTAGTTTTTCATTAATACTAACATCATTTTCATTTTTTTCTCGTTTTCCATTGGTTTTAATAATTGCATTATTACTGTTATTATTACTAGTAATATTATTTTCTTCATTTGATTGTATAACATTAAGTTGATTGAAATTTTGAAACTGTAAGAATTCTTCACTTTCTTTATTACATTCTGAAATTTTTGAATTTTGATTCTCAAATCCTGTTCCAACAAATTCAAGAAACCGTTCGGAACTGTCATCGTAATTTAATCTTTCAAATACTTCGAAATTTGTTTCAACATATTTATCAAAATCAGTTTGTGTGTCTAATAAAATTTGATTTGTAACATAATTTTTTTCTTCCTCTTGTAATTCATATTGCACATAATTTAAGTCATTATGTAAATCATCTCGTATATTTTGCTCTTGATGGTTTTCTTCATTTATATTTGTACCAGGATCATCTTTATTCTCAGGATTTTTTGCAGATTGTGTATTCGGTAATTTTTCAACTAAATTGTTAATTAAAAATTCATAAAATTGTTCTCCTGTTTCTGCTTGTACTAATCGCAACATTGGTTCATCATGATTTACAATATTATTTATGTCATTTAAATCATCAGATATTTTTCCATTTTGTACTAAATTTATTTCCCGATTTTTATTTATATTTGAATCGGAATTAATATGTTCATTGCTATTAGATTCTGAAAGATCTATCTTTTGAAACATATCGGTAACATTTAGAGAAGTATTTATTAAAGTATTATAATTCGTTTCGGATTTTTGTAAATCTAATTCGCATGTTTGTATACATAATTTACTTTTAAGAATATTTTCGTCTACTTGACAAACATATGTTACATTTTCTTTTTCAATGCAATTAGATTTACATGACAAAAGTGGAGTATCTTGAACAAATTGAGTTTGTTCATTTTTAAATGTTATTTTCTCAGAGACATTTAATTCTTCATCTGCTAAAATTTTTGTTTCACATAAATTTTCTTGTGAAACATGATTTCTATTGTCTTCAACATTTTCTAAATTAATTTTCTTCAACTTTTTTCATATAAAAAATTAATATATGTAAAAATATTTTAAAATTACATTGGTTATAAATATTAAAATATTTACCTGTTCTGATGTAATATAAATAATTGTTTCTAATGGCAAGGCTTTTTTTATATTTATTTCATTTTCAAAGAAATCAAAATTATCATTATGCTCTGTTTGTTTTTTAAGTTCTGTAGTTTTCTGAAAATTCTAAATGAAAGAAATAAATCAAAAAATTAATAACATAAATCTCAAATATTTTTTATTTTCAGAATTCTTACCATCTTATTATTCTTACATTCCAAAGTTTCTGAATGGGATTTCTCATGATCTCTTAAGAGAAAGATAAAATTGAAACTTTCACCACAAATTTTACAATAATGTTGTCTCTTGACAATCTTTTGCTGACTAAGTGCATTACCTTCAACAAACTGTACATTGACAGTAAGATATACTTAGATTCAAAGGATATTATGTAATACCACATTTGTTCATCACCTTATTCTTATATATTGCATGATCTTTTTTCTGCAAATTACTATTGAAATTATTTTGTAATTGAAGTTTAACATCACTTTTTACTCTTTCATGAATACGTTTGTGTCTCGCAAGGGAACTAATCTGAGTAAAACGTTTACCACAAATGGAACATGGATATAATTTTATTCCTAAAATTATTTTCAATTAAAATTTTTTTCATTATTTATTTCATTTATTTTTTATTTTATAAAAAATTTTGAATATAATTACCAGCATGCATTCTGCAATGTCTAATTAAATTAGATATGTGATTAAATTTTCTTCCACAAACTTCACAAATGCAAACATTTGTGCCTAAGTGAATATTCAAATGGGTTCTTAAGTCTGCTTTGCGAAAAAAACTTTTGCCACAGATTTCACAAAGCTGAGATTTTTCTCCTAAATGTATACTTCGATGATGATAGTCATACTGAGAAGCTCTGTCAAAAGTTAAACTGCATTGTTGACATTTAAAAGGTCTTAATATAGTTTCATAAAAATTATTATCAATTTTTTTAATAAAGAATATTTTGGTACTGTTTCTAATCCATTGTTTATATCTTTTTTAAAATATTGCATATGTTTCAGTAATACATCTCCAGTATGGATACGTAAATGATTATAGAATTCTTTTTTGTTTATATATCCAACATCACATACTGGACATACAAGATTGATGGATTGCATTTGAACCATGTCATTTTTACAATTTTTTTCTGAATTTAAAATAAATGACATGCTTTTATACTCAGACATGAACTTTCTATAGAAAAAGTTTTAATTTTTCAAATAAAGCAATCAAAATGATAAAAATTTTAGATTTTAAACTTCTATCTAAAATAAAACGATAACCTAAAAAAATTTAGTATTATCAGTTTATTATTTTTCTAGTTATTATTTTTTCGTTATATATGATTTTCAATTAATAATTTTATATATTAAAATTTTTAAATTATAATTAAGAATGAGATGAATTCCATAGAATTATCATACATACACTTCAATTTAATAATTATAGAACGCAATTACATTGTTTTTAATGATTATAGGAAATTTTATATTTAGAACATCTTTTGTTAATTAACTTAACATGTTCACATTATTTCAAATTTTTTAAAAAAGAATGCAAAACATTACTTTCCTTTTTACTTTGAAATACATGTTAAATGTATATAAATATGAAATAAAGTTTTTGTATTGGTATTACTTATTTAAAGTCTTATGTTGGTACGATTGTATCATTTAGTTAATTTTTAAAGGTGAATTATAATATTTGAGTTTGAATTTACTGTTTACTGATGTTAAAAATTTTACTGTATTTTGTTTAAAACATTTCAAAGTTCAATTTAAGGTAAATTCATTTTTCAATTTTAAATATTATATAATGTTAAATATAACAAACATGCATTGAATATTAAATAAATATTTGTAAAATATTGACTATAATATATTACTGATCCGTTATATATTTAAAAAAGTGATGTTGGTAATGTAATCGAAAATATAATCGAATTTTATTTTGAATTTATTCATTGAAAATCAAAGTGAAAAAATATAAAAAAAACAATCACGATAATGGGAAATTATGTTAATAAATTTTTTATTCATAAAACTGAAACTTATAACAATGAGATTGAAAAAGAAGAAATAAAAGATTCATCAGCGATAGATGAAGTAACTGTTGAAAAAAATATGCAAACTCCACCAATAATTCGTAAAACATTAATTACGGATCCTAGATCTGTAACGAATGGAATAAATAGAACACCAATTGAGGTAATTATAACATAAATTGATATAAATTTTATAAATTATTAATTATTAATTATTTTATAAATTATTATTTATTATAAATAATAATAATATTAATATTAATAGGTGAATAATACACCTGTTGGATTAAATAAAAAAATATCAGCAATTCCAAAACATTTACAAAATAAACCATACTTGGAAACAGATATAGATAAAATAATGTTATGTTTAACTCCTAAAAAACATTTGGTGCCAAAATTAATAGAAGCTCCAAAAGTATATCTCAACATTTTCTCTTTTTTAATAAAATGAAATATTTTGTTTTCGTAGTTTTATTGTTATAAATAATTTATGAAATTTTTTTAAATATTTTAGCAAAAAAGTGAAGAAAATCTTTTAACACCAACAAGTAATAATTTAAATAATAAAAAAATAATCACTGATATCGAAAAGGAACGTTATAATATTCTAGGACTTGATCCTAGATCTCCAGCAGCAGATTTTGATAGAACTCCAATTTTAATGCCAAAATCTATTGAACGTTTAAGAGCAAGATCTCAAGAATGTTTGCATAGACAAGGCAGTTATGATACAGATATTTTTTATCCAAAATTTTCATATTGTGAAATGTCATCACAATTTAATGTTACTGAAGTACAAGTTTTAACAGATTTAGACACATCTGCAGTAAATTCTTTACATTCAGTTATTACTGATTCTGATGACAAATTAAACGAGCCTAAATCATCATATTCAAATGATTCAGTTAAAACTAATTTTATTTCAGAAATTGGTAAGAAATTAATAATTAATAATTTAAAGTTAATTTATATTATAATAAAAATTATATAAAAATATGTTTTAAAAAATTTATTATATCTGACCAAGAAATATTTATATTAGTAGAAAAAGAATTAGAAGATCAAAATAAAATTCAAAGCATTGTAGAACAAAATAATTGTGATGATAATAATATTAAAAAGAATGCAGAACAAAAATGTATTATTAATAATGATATAATTAAAGTGTGGAGAGATTCATTAATATTGGATACATTTGAGGAATCAAATGAATCAGATAATGTACAAGAAGTTACAGAAAAAATGTCACAAATAAATAAGGAAGAAGTAATTATAACATTTGACAATGATAGTACCAAAGACTTAATTCCAAAATTAATTAATTCTGAAAATGAAAAAACAAAAGTAGACACAATTAAAAAAAAGAAAAAAATTGTCAAATCAGAAATTAAAGTTACAACAGATGAAAAAAAATCCTTTATTGATAAAAATGAAAATGAATCCATAAAGGTATTTCATAAATAGTAAAAGTTAATTATTTTTAAGGAATAAAGGTATTATGTGCATATTTTTATTTTCAGATTCGAACTCCTCTTGGAAATCGTTCAAATAATGAACAAATACAAACATTGTTAACAAAGTCACCACAACAAATGTTTAAGAGTAAAAGTATTGTTTCAAAAATATTAAAAGAAAATACACCACCACATAAAAAATATTTTGTAAAATCTAAATTAAATGGTGTACAATGGGATCCTGATTCAACTGTTATTATTTAAGATTATTAATTTTTATAAGAAAAATTTAAACATAGTTTATATCTTTTATAGAACTATTTTTATAGAAATTTAAATAATTGTAAAAATTAATTATAAACATAAATATAAAAAATTAGTTGAAATAGTGTATTTATTTAATATAAAATAAATAATTTTCTTAAAAAAGAATTTTTTTCTCTATTACATATTTTAATATAAAATCATGGATTTTCCTTATTATTCATTTGCATGGCTGCTCGTATTTGCGATTTAGCTTCTTTAATTGACAATTGCAGATTTTCACTTGGTTGTACCAATTGGGATACACTATAATAATTATAACATATTATAAAAGTATATATGATATAAAATATAATATATAATCTACCTTGGATCTTTTATTATAATCCTTTTTTTCTCAACATCATTTTTTGGTATTAATTTAATAGTTATATTACTATTAATTTTCTTTGGATTAGAAAATATATTTTTATTTGAAATATCCCATTTTACTATAGTACTTGTATCTACAAGTTGTGGTTTAACAAGTCTAACTTTCACATTATTATTAATATGTTGTCCTTTATAATTTTTTCTTTTGTTTTTAGTAGAATTTGATTTTAATGTAGTTTCTTTAGATACATTTGTTTCAATAATAGCTTCAGTTGAATGGTAAGGAACTTTTAATATAGAAGCATTACTTGGATATTCAAATGAAGTAGATGGTAGATTGGATTGACATACTGGTCTTGGATCTATATTTTGTGGTATACCATCATAAATAGATGATAAAGTTTTTCCAGGATATTGTTGAATAAGACGCTCTTTTGTAAGTGGTAAAGCAGGTGTTCTCTTTCTTCTATTATATTGTTCTCTGAAAATTATTCAATGTAATAATTCAAATTTTTTATTTACTATTATTTTTATATTTTACATACTTGGGAATAAATTTATTGATATTTGGATTCTTTAGATCTTGTTGATTTTTTTTTATACGTATATTTACATCTCTTTGACGTTGAAGAAGTTTTTCTTTAGTTTCTGAGATACTTTCAAGTTCGGGTACATAAAAAACATGTAATGAACCTCCATAAAAATTTTTATCATCAATGAATCGTTTTGCTATTCTACATAATGTATAATATAAGACATAAACATAATAAATTTAAATTATATATTACATTATTATAGAAAAAAAATATGTTTACCTTGCACTTTGTATATGAACATATTGTATATAATATGCTTCTGTAAACTCTTCTGTGGGATAATCATGAACTACATGTATTTTTTTTATATTACCATAAGATTCAACAAGTTTTTTTATTTCTTCACCTAATTGGAGTTTTGGTACTCCACATATCATTAAATGTTTTGATTCATCATTTATTGTATAAACCTGTTACATAGAGCTAGTGTGTCAAGGAAATATTATTGAAAAAAAACAAAAATGATAGTAGATTAATTATTTAAAATAAGATTATGTAAATTTGAAAATTTAAATTTATTATAATTTTTAAAGAAATTTATTTAAATGACCTAATAATTTTTATAATTTATATTTATGATTTAATTAAAAAAATAATATGAAAAAATAACTTATTATTAAAATATTATTTATTATTAAACTTATTTTAGGAAAAATAGGATACAAGTTCACAATGCTACCTTCACAGATGTTAATCTTTTTCCCTGCCTATAAGGAGGTCGTGTATTACACAATTTTTGTTGTATATGATGAGGAAGTTTTGTTATAGTACAATTATTATCCATGATTTATATTTTTCACTATAATTTTTAGTATAGTAATTATAATAACTTTATAAATATTTTATATCAACTTGCTAATATTTTGAAAGATCATTGTTTCAATAAATTTTAAATGAATTATAAATATTTATATATCTTAATAATTATTTTTAGAAACTTTTAGAAATATTGTACTTTCATATACAAGAAACACTAAATGTACAATATGGCTATAACTAAATGAATTTCCACATTGCGAATAATGCTGGAAATTAGTATAGTTTATGGTGTCATGGCGTCATGACTCGTACTATAATAAAATGAAAATGAGAGAAAAAATAACGGGTGTCCTATTATATCGTATTGTTTTAGAATTAGATTAGTTTAGGAATAGAATCAAAAAATAACAATTTATAAATCCATGATCATTTCCAAATTCGAATCTTGAATATCTGAAAAATCAAATTTAAATCAAACATCGTTACGTTCTTAAGCTAATCTAATTCTAAATTCTAACAGTGCAGTATTCGTTATTTTTTCTTGCTCTTTCTAATTTTTCTTAATTTTCAATAGAAATTTGCACAATTCTGAATGTGCTAAACATAATAATTTGACACAAATGGTTTTCTTTTCATAATAATATTTCGCATTTTTCTGTATATCTGCAGAATTAAATAAATATGTTCAAACAATTTCTTTAAAAAATTGTCTTTGTTTTAAAAAATATAAAAATAAAAAATTCAATAATATTATAATTTTTATACATAATTTTTATTATTTAATGCAGCACATTATTTCTTACAAAAAAATTCTAAGTTATTTATGTTGGCAAATCTTTAATTTAAGAGAAAGTTTAAGTGAAGTTTGTAAAGATCATATGAAAGGCACGTGTTTTTCATATAAAAAATATTTACTTTTATATTCACTATTATTATTTGCACAAAACTATATACGAGACAAAAATTAAATTCTTTTTTATCATGCATATGTATTGCATATGTTTTAATAACAATTGATTGACGTACATATACATAAATTATATTATGTCTTACAAAAATATAGAAATTTTATGCACAGATACAATTATTTTGACGCAATTTGCAAACAGTGCATAATATATAGTGTATATAAGTTAAAGAAGAAATACATAACCATTATATAAAGTCAATAATATATTAACGTTAACTGGAATAACATTAATTTTTAATTAATTTTATTGAATTATAAAGAGATAGACAGTCATTAAATGAATATTTCAAAAAATATAACTCATGCTTGATTGTTTTAATAATATCCATTGTTTTTTTTAGAAAAATTCATAAAATATGTGATAATTTTTAACGTATATTAATATTTTGATCATAATATCTAAACAACTTTTTTACATATAATATATTTTTAGTTTTATTCTAAATATATGCAAATAATTTAGAACAATTTTATTAAAATTTCTGTCGGAAATACAAATAAATATGAATAATATATCATTGTCAAAAGTAATGGCGTATAATAGCAGATACATAGATTCTTTTGCTGTTCGTTGAGTAAATTTATATATGATAGAAGTAGAACATGAAAGTTATAAGATACTTTTTTTTTGAGTAATGATTGTCTCAATCTATATATTTCATTAATTCAGCGTTTAAAAATCTTTTTTTATACGAAGGTAAAAATGATTGTAAAGGCACTGTTGTAAGGATAGAAAAATTAAGTTGTATTTGTAGAAACGGATAATTTGTCGACCTCTTGTGGGAAAGATAGTAAGTTAATAGACCTCTGGTGGCAAGCGTGGGAAGTATTCCCACAACATATTAAGCGTTTTACAGTGTAACAGCATCAAAGAAAATTTGTTCACAATTAACAAACAGGTTGTTTATCAGCTTCTGTAAATACGTTTTACCTCATATTAGAGAAAGTTAGAATTTTAATACAGTTTATTGGATTTATTTCTTTTTTTCGAAAATAATTCATATAACCTTTATTAACGTTTTAATTTTGATAGAAATAGGTTTTGTCTTATCTTCACCTATTATATATTTAATTATTTCATGATAAATTAATCAAAGGAAAATTTGTAGTAATAAATATAAATATTGAGGAATTTCAATATTATATTTTATATTGTGAAAGTGAATTTTCTATTCATTTATATTTGAACGTGACGTAGATCTACTATTCGTTACAATATTTTGTGTTAAAGAAACTATAGAATTAATATCATTTTATTAAAATTTACATAATCTCTTTTTTTAATTAATAAATTATGCAAATATAAATTAAGTCAAAATTGTAGGTGTTTTTTATTTATTAAATAACCCAACAGTGTATTACATACCATATGTGAATTAAATAAATATAATTTAAAAATCTATTAAATGTAACATTAATGAAGATTAAATGCTATTAAAATTGTTTTATAAAATAATAATAGAAATCTTATGTTTATTTACAGAATTAATAACTGCAATGGATTCAGCATAGCAACATTAACTAATATTAAACAACAAACATCGTTTGTCCCTTATTGTCCATTTAGATTACATTTTCTTTTATATATTTAAAGTTATTATATTATCCTATAAATTATTTCGTTATGTCTGCAAATACTCAATTTGCAAATCCTCCACCAGCTATAAGTTTACCTAATATGTCTGTGCCACCTCCTGCTACTCCAAATTTATCAGCTCCACCTCCTAATTTAACTACTATAAACACATCTGGAAGTTACCAGCATCGATATACCAATCATAGGGATGGAGCAAGAGGATTTTTTAAACCATTTAGACCTTATCATGCACCCAAAATTGTTGCTGCTGGTCAAGATACATTACAAGATGAATTTGATGGAAAAAGACTTCGGAAATCTGTTATGCGCAAAACTGTAGACTACAATTCTGCTATTATAAAGAGCTTAGAGGTAGTGTTCTTAATAGAATTCTATATTTTGAATAACAGTTCTGATAAATAATAGTAATGTTATATTTTTTATTTATAGAATCGAGTATGGCAAAGAGATTATAGGGACAGGCGTGCCCTTCAACCAGATGTAATGTATTATCCTGATCTACTTCCACCACCTAGTTATGTTGATAATCCCATAAATGCAGTTACTACAAGATTTGTAAAAACTGCAACAAATAAAATGCGATGTCCTATCTTTTGTATGGCTTGGACACCAGAGGGAAGACGTCTTGTTACTGGTGCATCTAGTGGAGAATTTACTTTATGGAATGGTCTTACGTTTAATTTTGAAACTATTTTGCAGGTATTTTATATACATTATTTACAACTTAATATTGATTAAATTTTTGCATAATTTACTGTATAATTTATTATTCTATTATCTATTATTAATTTTTATAATTTCAATAAAAGTTATTCCTGTAAAGAAGAAACTTCAAACACTTGTAAAAAGTTAAAATTTGAGTATATTATAT